CGAACGAATTTGTTCACAAGTTTTGTAAGTGCTGTGTGTATTCGAGGATAGAGCGGGTAATATCGATTCGAATGGGATGATATGAAAGAGATTGAGATCATCTGCTAAGATCTGATCACCACCAGCGAACGGATAGATGATTGTTGAAAGTTGAAAGTGATGTTTGAATGTTTGCTTTGCCTTGGAACTGGCAATTCGTGTAAGGAAATCTTGGAAATGAAAGTTTAACTCAACCGATTTGGCGAAGCTGAGGAAATCACGATTGAATTTTAATGTTAATATATGAGGAAAATCAGGCTTGGACGAAGGAGACTGTTTATCAATCAAAGCATCATTTTCCTACGTAGGAGAAAGCACTAATGTTTTCTTCCAGAACAAGATGTTTACTTACTTGTCTATATGAGCCGTTGAGAATGTTCTCACTATCATCGCATTCATCACCTATCGTTCGACTTCGTTTAATTTTTTTGTTATTGTTCGTTGATACTACTGTTCGAATGACTTTATTTCGATTTAATGATGGTGTGCCAAGTATGCGTAGTGAATCAATCCATTGATCAATGCTCGATGCACCATGCAAAGATTTCTCGAGATCTTCAATTGATAATCTCGCGTGTTCGATCGATTGCGAGTAGTAGGATCGTTTGGTTTCAGCAAGTGTACCACGAAATGAGCGACCCGTTGGCGGTAATTTTGTAACAGTTCGAGATTTACCCGGCGGTAAGGGTGGTTTACATTGAGGCTGTGTATTGTTTTGATTGTCGTTGGCATTGTCTGGGACAGTTGTAATAACATTATGCAAAGATACCGATCGACGATTTTTAGCTGATGATAGATTCTTATCAATTTCATTCGGAGCGTGGATGGATGTTGACGGTATTGCATTAATAACAAGTGGAGGCGATGGGTAAGTTTTATCATTCGATTTAATACGATCGAACGTTGGAAAATATTTCTCGTCACTGGATAGCGATGCTGACGATGCGGAGTGTCTGGAGAAACATGGACAACAAAATGATTGTTGGTTCTTCTTAATTGGTTTCTTTTTCGTTGATATCGAAGGATTATTTCCCATGATTAAATCATTGACGTATTTGCATCTGAAATAGATGAGAAGTTGGCTTGGTAATCAATGGCAGAAGGAACAGCAGCGATCGGTGTGTGTCAATAGGAGGATAGGGCGAGAAATGACACTTCAATTCATGACAAGGTTCATCGACAATTGTGCAAACATTGATCGACTGATGCAATAAGTTTATCTATTACTCTTTCGTTTGAACGCTCAAATCGATCTAACGATAAGTAAAAGAAATGTCACGATTAAATCGATTTTTCGGCGTCGAACGATCAGATTTCACGGTATAAGATAACGGAAAAGAGATTAGTGTCGTTAGGAAATAAATGATTAAATTTTCATTGACGGCGAACTGAGAAAATGAAGAAGAAAGAGAGAAACGATGTATATATATATATATGTATACATGTTACATGCGCGTGTATGTGTCTTTTCTCTAATAGTTTATACTTAGCTTTTCTTTCTTTTTTCATCCGATCCGACATTGACGAGGTTCAACGGAAAGAAATACGCGTGCACGCATACAAGTAGAATAACAAGAAAGAAAAGAATAGTACAAATGTGTGTGCTCAAGTGATCAGTCTCCTCCTATGTAATTGTTCTTTACGAGGACGAGTAGTCCCATTTTCCCCTTTGTCAATGCTTGAAAATGTTGTATTCAATGTTTATTTTTACAAACAAACTTTACTCAATGGCGACGGTCGTTTCATTTCAAGCTGTCCGATCAATTCGAAGCACTGCTACTTGACGTGTCTCTATCATCCAAAGACAACAACGAAGATCGAATTACCATCTATGCTAGACGACGAACACAACAGATCTGCAAAGAAAAATACTGATGGCCTAGATAACGAGCAAAGATTGTTATATCATCAGTTACCCTTTTGGAACTGTAAAAAGGTCGATTGTCGGAGGATACTATGTCAAACACATACATACGTTTCTGTCTGATAAAAAATGAGTGATTATCAGTGAAAAAAAAACGAATTGAAATCGTGTTCTTGATTTGTATTCATAAGAACGGAGGAAATGATACTAACTAATCCATCAAGCAATCCATCGATGAAACAGAGGAGAGAATAAGACTGTTCGCGCACGCAATCCATTAGACAAAATAGACATAGAACGGTTGCACATCATCGGCCGAAGTGTCGAAGCGAATGTTTACATGAGAAAAAAAGAACTACAAATCTAAATAAACAAACTTGAAAAAAAAAACGGATGCAGCAAGCAGCTAATATTTGTATACAAAAAATAGAGAAATGTCATCAATCAGAGAGATTTTCTCTCTTATTTATCTTCTTTACAAGTATGAAATCGTTATGGAAAAAGTACACATAAAGTAAATGTTCGATTCGACGTTGTTTTCTTTTTTACTTGTGTTCATTTCATTCATTCTGTCTCCCGTTATAATAAACAAAACAAATCGCTACAGATGTTTTCCGAATTGGTTGGTCTATCCTAAATCACAGATGACACTAGACGCTGGAGGTAGTTTTTCATGTTTCTACCAGTCGTCTTACATGTCAAGTTCAGTAACCAACTTCATGAAGTATTTATTAATGAAATGTATTAATTACATTCTGTCGAGCAACTGTCGGGAATGGAGACTAGTCAGTTTTTAATGTGCCTATTGATTGATTTGATGTAGAACCGCAGAGGTTCAGAGGTCAATGCACTTCATCAATTTTCGAGTCACATCTGAATTATTTTATTTTGTTTTAACACAAGAAAAACAGTTTATTTATCTTCGTCGGTCTCTTCGAGGTAACACGTTTCCGTAGTTCCTGTCATTAGATCGCCTATGGTTTCATTATTCATCTGTTCATATTGGTAACGTTGACGAGGATAACCCCATAGTAATTCGAATTGATTAGGCACATTGGAGTTGGTCCATGCGAATTCGAACAAGCTTTTCGCTGGTTCATTTCGACGAAAACGTCGACGGATCGGCTCATCAACTGGCAAACGTATAGACACTTGAACGATATCAATTTCGGTAGGTGATGGTTCAGGTTGAAGCGCTAGTTTTAGCCGATCGCGAAATTCAGCAAATTTCTTAGATAAAACAGAGAACAAAGATGCGCATGTTTTTCTCGGATGGTTATGATGATTACTTGTAGTTTCCTTTGTTTCTCTTCTTCTAAAAGTCTTCGTTCATTGTCTGCTCGTTCACGCTGTTCAGCCTTAAATGAATTCAAAAAAAAATTCTTCGTCGTAGTGCAAACAATTGATTTCAACGAACTTTTTCCTTATCAATTCTAACAGAATCCAAATAAGCTTGATTTTGTTCTTCTAGAAGACGATCTCTGGAAGTACTTTGTGACCTTCGTTGTCTGTGAAACATAACTTTGAATAACGAATATATCTTTCGTTATGCGAGTTCCTACCGGTTGTACTCAAGTGTTTGATCAGCGTTTTGAACAGCACCTATGATCTCTGCTAAGCATCGATCGGAATCTTAACAAAATCAAGTACAATATTCAACAATGGCACGTTATTTCTCGAAACTTGAATTACCGGTATAGTGATCTAGTTTAAATTGAACAGTTTGTTGTGAACCATAATGTGCAATAATACAAAAACAAGGGAAAGTATTTGCCATTAGCAAACGACCAGCTAGATTGATTTCGAAAGAGAAATAAATGATGAGGGAAGCGTGAAGGAGGTAGATTTTACCTGCAACACCTTCTTGCGTATTTCGACTTGTGCTCCATAAGAGATTACTACCGAGTATTGATTGAAAGGCTCCGCCACACAAAATTTCACTGAAAACAATCGAATAATACTCAAGCAACGTTTTTCAAAAAGAACTTACCGACAAAATCGATCGCACATGGCTGAATTTCTATCGTGTATATAAATGAAAAGTAGACGAACTTCGCGCTGAGCATCTCGAAGTGCCTGAAATATTAGTTCGCTAACTGCAAATATAGGCGAGAAACGTTCTTTTACCTGAGATAATTTTCCTTGATAAAATATTGGATGATCGGTACTGTATTTATCATTGAAATACCTACAGTAATCTTCGAGTTCAATCAAAGGATCTCGTGGTGGCTCAGTCCAGAATAATGAACGAACTGAAACGAAAATCGAACATGAAAATGACGAATTCCTTCACAAAGTATGTATTTTACTGAATGAGAAAGCAACACGAACAATTCTCCAAGGTAGAAACGGTTGGAGTTTCAGATAAAAAGTGTATAAAAATGATAGCGGTGTACGAAACAATTGTCTAAAACGAAATCAGTCTCGTTTCGATTCGATTGAATTGATTTCCACTTACAACGCATAGTTTGGCATGTATCGAGTTGTTACTGATGTTACAGGAGGTATTCGCCGTTCGATCCTCACTGGTGGAGTATTGTTTGTTGGAAGATCTGCATTTAACATTAAAACAGTATTGACAGCGCGTTCCACGTCCCAATCAGTCATTTTGAGATACTGAAGACTAGTTTCATAGGAATCCATTCCGGAAAATTCCTAGAAATTAAACGATTACACTTCAGTAGAAAGAGATGAGACGATTTTCTAACCTGAAAACGGACCAGAGCATCGCTCTGCTCCTGTGTTAGAGTGTCACTGTTCATTCGAAACAATAGGAACACAGACGAGAGGTTTGTGGCAAGATTTCACAAGTTGCACATCACTTACTTCATTCTGAGACATAAAAAGCCAATGATAATCCAGTCGATGACAGTGCAATAGATGTCGCCGTGCTAGTTAAATATGAACAAAAAATATCTTCGAAAACCGATTGATTTTTTTCTAATTTTTTTTTGATAATTGAATTTCAATCTATTCGAGTAGATATCAACAGTTCAATGATTGAACAATGAATCATCAGAAAGTTAACTCGTGGGACGTGGGTGAGTTTCATTATCTTTCCTTTGTATGAACATTGATTGTTTATTAGTGAAGAACAATGACAACAAAGTCCAAGAATAGTAAGTGCACCATATGAATTTCCATTCGTTACGAAATTTTCTCTTTTGTTTCTCTGTATTCACCTTATGATTCATTTTCTTAAGTGATTCATTGTTATCAGCGACTATATCGAACTTTCTATAAACATGTTAATTTGAAAATTATCATGTGTCCTTGACGTTCTTCCTCCTACTGTTGTAGTCATTACCTGTACATACGTCACTTATGTTCTATGATTGAGTTGCAATATTGAATTAGTCTTTGCTGCGTACGTTAACATTGATACATAATACAGGTATTGTGTCTATATACGTTCTCTTCGCTCGTCAAAGTTATGCATTGATTTGTATATGTCAATATTGATAAACATTTCGTATGTAACTTCGCAGTCGACTGACTTGTTCAATTCAGTAGTCATAAAAAGAACAATAAATAACCGCATTGACATTTTCAAAAATGCCTATGATTTATTTGGACTATCATTGATTAGATCTGCCTTCACCATCATCATTTGAACATCTACCCGACCTTGTTTCGCGAGCCAATTGCAATTCTGATACTTCAACATTACCGTCAACAACTTTTCGTCAACATGACCCACGCACATCAATCGATGTAATACGAGAGATGACTTGTTCTTCCCCATTGCGACAAGAATACGCTAATTTAACTGTCCTTGATGTTTACGATGAGGCGGCATTAATTGGCAAAGACTTCGAACGTATTATCGAAGGTAAAACAAACAAGTTGATCCACATTTTTTTCAGTAATATCGGTTTAGCTTATGGAACGGAAACTATTCGTGATCTCGTCCCGAAAGTAATTCGTATTCTTGAGTTACTTGAACTGCAGGCGGCGAAAAATGAAAAAGAAAGCGATCAATTAATGCAAATGAAAACACGTATCGAACGGTTGGAGATCGAAAAGAGCGAAACACGTGAAATACGTGAGAAGTTCGACCAAGAACTCGAAGTTGTCGAAGAACAATGGCGTAAAGAAGTACGTTTTCATATCTTTTGCTATTTCAAACTTTTCCTCTTCTGCAATTCACAGGCAGATAATCTTATGGCACTTGTATCAAAACTAGAAGATGAAAATCGCAGATTACGCGATGAACTTCAACACAAGAGTGATTTGGATGAAAAAGTCGAACGAAGCAGTTCGAAAGATAGCATCAGTATGATAAATTCTAACCAACACAAAAAAAAATCTCCTTTTATTCCGTTGTCTAGGTGTCACTCGGGAAGAACTACAGTGCATCAAAAGTCTAACAGATGAAAACATGAAACTGAAAAAGATGATGAAAACCAAAGATAAGGAATTAACTCAAAAAACGCTCGATATTGAGGCAGTAAGTATTCGTACGATAGCTTTCCGGGCCAGTTTTTTTTTCTTGAGTATCTTCGAGGATATAGTCTTTGATTGTCGATAAGTACACTTCAATAACTCAAATAATGATGAATAGCGAGTCAGCATGAAACGAGCTTCCTGAAGGATATGAGCGTCATTGAAATACTCTTCAAATGTCTTTGTTCATTAGTAATGAGGCACATTGCCGGGCGGAGAAATGGAATTTTGGCAAATTTTTGTTGATACTTTTAGATCCAAGGTCAACTCGAACGTGTTTGCAAATTAAATTGTACATTACGTCAAAGGAATACGTTTTCCGTCAATCAAACTCAACGGTTGATAGTGGAAAAACTCGATTTAGAAGTGCAATTAAAAGAAAAGGAAAATTTCATTGCTCATATGAAAGATCGTGTCACCGATGATTTGACTAGTCCAATATCCCCAACAGTAAGCGAAACAAACACGATAGAGCAAATATCTTCTTGTTATTTATCAATAGAATCCGACTAATGATTTTTCGACATACGATGCGAATCAACCACGGTTTTCATTACAAGAATTACGTCAAGTTCTCTGGGAGCGAAACGACCTGAAGACCAAGTTAGTGGAAGTCGAAGAAGAATTACGATTATTCAAAGAACAGTATGAATATCATGATTTCATACGTCATTGCCGGCATATTCATTAATTTCATTTCTATTTTCAGTGAAGAAAACAATAATAATAATAATGATGATGATGATGATAATGGCGCTGTCCAAGGTCCTATTCCTTTAGAGCCCGATGAAAAATTATACGGTCAAAAGCAAGATGAATCGAAAATTCGTCAATTGTAAGTTGATTGTTTCTCGTTGTTTCCCCATAGGCGTACGTCTACTTGTTGCTATCGTAGCATGTCCCATTATGACGTCATATATTCCATTTACTTTCAGTGTGAAACTCTGTTTACTTTTCCCCATGATCGCTTGCTTTGCAATTCTATGTTTTTGGTAAGCTTTTGGCATGATTGCAAGCAGCAAGTTGCGTTGATTGTTTTTCACATTGCATGAATCGAGCGTGTATCAATCATCTCTCCTTTAATCATGATCTACCGTGAATATGCATGCTGTGCTGTTACAGATTATTCTCTGCTAATCGAAAAACTAATCAGCAATATATAAGCCTTGCCAAACATTCGTTTTCGCTTTGTGTCTAATGTTCAATGTTGTTTTGTTTGTTTGTTTCCAGTCTTCGTGCCTTTTTTCCGTCGACTAAATCATCGCCAATATCCAACCAAAATACATCTGGACAATTATCTACGCCGTCGACAACAGCAAATTCTAGTCGCTTTTCGTCGCCAACGATTCAATCGACTAGTTCATCATCGAAACGATTTTCTATCGATAGCTTGTTCAATAGCAATCGTAAAGCATCGAAGTCCAACTTTCCCATCCTTTCGCCACCTTCAACTCAATGAGAAGGAAACGCAGAAAGTTATTTTTTCATTTTTGTATAATATTTTTCTATTTAATTTATTTCTTCCTATTGTTATGCTTATATCTCTGTTAAATATTCGGTCTGCTCAAAATTTTCTTGTCAATTTGTTTTATATCTTTAGTTTTCGCTTTGTTTTTGGTGATTATTCAACAACAGCAAATGCAGATGAGACATCAACAAATTTACCTGGCACTACAAGAAAATTTCCATTTATTTCCGATGTCCTCAGATAAAACTTTGCAATCTTCATGGCAGCTTTTTGTTCGCATCTCTGTCGAGCAGTGAGCAAGAACAAAAAGAGACCATGCAGCACACTAGACACAAAACTCTCTCTTTATTCTTTACTAGTCATATTTTTGTTTCCTTCTCGGTTCCCAACTCGTCTTTGTTATTATGATTATTCCCGTTTACAAATAAATTTATGTAAAATACTGTCATTGAAATGTATGAGAGCCGTTTTATTTGTACAAATCATCGAGCAAAAACAAAAATAAGAATATATAGAAGAGAAGTAGATAAATAGAGAGAGACAAGTTTTCACTGTTTTTCTTATTTTCTATCATCTGTAATAGTCACATCACTGAATGCTGAGCTTTCCTACACGAGAGATCACTCGGGATGATGAAGTTTGAAAAAAAAAGAAAGCAAACAAACAAACAAGCGAAAAAAAGATGTTATGAATGAAAACGAATTTGAACAACGTGAATACATGTATGAATAAGATATGAGTTAGACTGAGCCAGCAGCCAAATGAGTAAGAAAATCTAATCGATATCACATATTGAATATGTTTATCTACGAATTTCGAAAGAACTAAAATGAAACAAGAAGAAAAGAGATTGATTTCAAGGAAGGACATTGGTGATTTTCAACATACGGGAAACCATCCAGATGAGTGGTTTTCTGGCTGAAGTGCCAATCTTGGTATAGCTAGATTTGGATTCAATGCTTCAACAAATTCATCTTCCATGTCATCATCTTTAGTCATATCTTCTAACATATCAGTTACTAATTCAATATCTTCAAGTTCGCGAGAATCCGAAAATGTACTTTCAGCTCCTGATGGTTCATCGAATCTTTCGTTGCTTGGCAAACTGTTCAACGTGCCAAGAATATTGACCATTTGTGGTCGCGGAATATGACCTTTCGACATTGGTATGCGGTTTTCTAGTTCATCGAATATACCAAAATCAGCTTCGGGACGTTGGCCATTGGCGCGATAAGTTGTATTGTATGTTGTCGATGAACTCGATGGAAATGAATCAGATGCATCGACATATTGTTCATCGTAGGTATTGTCCAGACTGAAAGCATCCCAAGTATTTAAAGCTCGACTACCAGTGCCCATGGTCGGAATATGAGCACGTGGAATAACAAATTGTGGACGTTGTACGGGCACTTTCACGTCACGATCAGATGGTTGACGGTTTTTTATAAAGTAAAATACGCACATAGCTAGAGCAATGATGAGTAAAAGACCGGCAATCGCACTGACAACAGCAACAATCACAGTCCAATTGGTCCCTGAAGATGACGACCCAAGAGTAGGTGTTACAGTAGTGACTCGACAAAGGTATCCTTCATAACCAGAAAAGCACGTGCAATTTGTCTGATTGTCCCAGCAGACACCTACACCCGTATAAACACATTCGCGACAAGCCGGTTCTGGCGCCGTAACATTAACTAAAATCGAAAAATAGGAGCGACTATAAGAGAAGTTAAGCGTTCGATTGAATGTTACCCAGAGTATTCGTTGCCGGGTTCATGATTATTTGTACCAGCGATAGAGAATAACTGTCATTGTAAACAATGCTGTCATTGAATAAAGCGTTGACCAAATTTATGCGTTGAGTAACGTTGAGAAGAACATTCAATGTTACCATGAGTTCAAGATTAGGAGGCGAAGCATCCCTACGAATTCATTTGAGTCAATCTTTTTCATACAATCTCGCTATCCAACTTACTGTGTATCATACAAGTTTATGCATGATCCGTTGCATGTTATATTCATGCCTGATAAGATATATGAAATCTACAAACGAAAGGGTTAGAGAAGAGGGTTTTCCTGAAGAGAACTAATTAAAATCATACGTTCGTTTCTATCGAAGATGAAGCTGGTGTGTCGATAGATATCACACGACTGCTTGCTTTCAATTTAAAGAAGAGTAAAAGCCAAGTTTGACCTGAAATAAAACGGTATTCAAATGGCAAGCAAGAGATCTTTTTCTTTTACCAGTAGCATTGACGCAATCAGATCCATTGTAATAAGTAAATGGATGATTTGGGCATTGGCAGGTCTGCTGAGTTTCATCTAAGGCAGAATCAACGAGTTTATAGCTCGACGATGGACATTCGCATCGGCCCGTTGTCGCACTACAGATTGCCGGTGCTTGACATTGATTTTTACAATACGCAGAATAATCTGTAGGTAAACAGGAACTATTCGAACTAATTGCATTTCCATATTGTTGTGTATAATCGCCTGTGACGAATAAAACATACGACACTGCGTTCCTTCATGATCTAGATAAACCTACCTCCTAATGAATAATTGTAATTACATCGACATTCAAACGAGCCTTGAATATTTGCACAGTAGGTGTTACTATATGACGAGCAATTATTGGCAGTAGTAACACATTCATTTATATCAACACAGGAGTTATTGATCAACTTAAGAAAAGATTCATTGAGTTCATGAAATTGGAACATTTCCTTTCCTAACCTGATATCCATTTAAGCAATTACACTGATAACTTCCAATCGTATTCACACATACTGAGACGTCAACATTACACTGATTTAGATCACTGGAACATTCATTAATATCTAGACATAGATTTTTTGAACAAAACAGTTTCATCTCTGATCAACAAATCTTACCAGTACAATAATTGCTTGTCGAATTCAATTGATAACCCAATGCGCATATAAGAATAGCTCGTCCTGTACTAGGATCCGTCAGGCAATCCGTCTTAGTTGCATTGAATGTGTTGTTAGCTGAAGAGAAAGATAATCCTTTATAAGTATGATCAGCTCATACTATCGAATGAAACATACCACATTGATCTATCTGCTTAGAACAAAATGGTGGTTCGTATCCCAGATCACAAGTACAGCTTTCATTAGCGCTCGTCGCATTTGCGTTACAGGTACCAAAATTGCATAGACATGTTTCATTACAACCATAACCATAATTTAGACTTTCGCATGCTACGATGAAGAAAACGTTTCCGAAAATCTTATCAGTCAAACATATACATACGTATGCATTGTTTGCCATCAGTAGAATACTGCAATCCAGGTTGTTTCATACAGTTACATTGATAAAATCCATTGACAAGTTCACAAAAGCCTGGACAGGTCGATTGACACCAAGCTAAAATACAAAATGACTTATCTCTATGTATAAACTATCTTTTTCAAAATATTCTTACGAATACACGTGTTATTTTCTTTGACGGTACCATGTAAACATGATATAGTATTATTATTAACATTGCTAGTACATGTATCATTCACGCAAAGACTTGCATTATCTATTCAAATACATATTTAATTGAAAAATATCTATGCGATACTACATACAAACGCAGGTTCCCGTAGTATTAAAAACAAGACTGCATGAACATGAATAATTGCCATTTGAATATACGCATTCTTGAGATTCATTACATGGAGATGAATAGGTACCATTCGTATATGGCTCAATACAACTGTTAATAGCTGTAAAAGATGATTTAGATACACATTTCAAACCCGAAGAAAAAAACTCACCAACACACGTTCCACTTTCAAATCGGTAGCCACTCAGACAATCACATGTAAATGAACCAATAAGATTCACACATGTGCCATTTCCACATCGAGAGGAATTCGTTTGACATTCATTTTCATCTGTATATTCGAACATAGATCATCTTCTGTTGAATACCTTATACAACTTACCTTCACATGTATATTGATTTCTTACTGTATATCCTGTTGAGCATGTTCCGTTACAAACATACGAAAGGTTTTGTGCTACCTGTTGAGCCGGACTCAACGGAATGCATTGTGTACCATTATTCCAATTGATTCGACAGGCGCTAGTGGAATTGCAGCCATCGTATGAAAGTTGACAGAAGATTCCTAGAGCAGTAGAAATTTCAAGTGAGAATTGAGCTTGTTTTCATTGGATGACTTACCATCGTATTGATCAGGACAATCACACGATGCAATGGCATAATTTTCAGATATGATCGTTGTTTGCGCATAGTTACAGTAAGAAGTGTTTATACACAGACAAGCGATGATATTCAAGTACTGGATGATTGTAGAATTCGCACCGTATGTGATCGTTAAGCTATAGAGTAGAATAATTAAAAAAATCGATTCAGTCGATCTGATAATTACTTACGAGACATCGACATACGTATCCGCAGTAGATGGTATTAAAATATCGATCGATGATCCTAGAAATGTATTGTTTTGTACCGTACCGTTCTCGGAAGTAGTAACTAATGTGCTGCTTGCTCCACTGATACTAATTGGTAATGAATAGATACGATTTTGTGTGTTGTAAGGTAACGGTATTTGAACAGTAGATGAGACGTTAATTATCGGCACAGTTTCAGCTACAAATACGTGTGGATAAATATCAGAGAGATTTCAGAACGTAGGTCTTACCAAATATTGCTCTCGAGTCTCTGTATGAATCTAATAATAGAGCTGTTGCGCCACTAGTAATTGGATTTATGCGAACGATATAGTCATGAACACATTCGAAATTTGATGAACATGTTTGATTGACTTGACTTTGGTTTAGACGTGAATTTAGGGTTGTAAGTACACTGGACGCATTATTATAGTACCAGTTGACTAACGTCGACGGCAAGATTGGGTTCGTGATGTTTGCTGTTGTGTCATTTGGTGCTCTCCCTGAGAGAGAGAGAAAAGCAGTCACATTTCAAAATGAAAAGCTAAACAACTTACATGAAAGACAAGCATTTAAAATATCCGCATCGTTGACTGCAGCTGATTGATTGTTTGCAGATAAAATTGAAATTGTTTGATTCGTTCGTCGATTAACTAAATCATCACCGTAAATTCCGTTGAAATTACCCGCTAAACCTTCGACAAGATTGCGATATTTGTCTGGTAGTAGAAGGACGCATTCAAGATTTTCGACCATTATTTGACATTGAATTGATAAACCTGACCAGAGAGCGAACGTCAACTGTGGAACGGTTGTGTTTGAAACAGATACACCCATTTGTCGTACGCGGTACATATAAATATCATCGACATTCGTGGCATTCGCTGAATCATAATTTAGATTATTTGCCAAAACATCTGTCAACGATATATTTTGCAAACTATTGCTGGCTGTGAATCCTAGTGACAAATACAAGAAGAAATCGGTATATACTTTAGCAAATTGGTAGTTTCTCTTACCGAATTTCCCGTTGAGATTACTGATAACAAATGTATAATTTGCCGCGCCGATGATGTAGCTTGAAAATATCGATGCTGAGCCCTGCATTCGTTCAACATAGGGCAATGCTGGTGCGATTGATGTAGAGCTGACATATACATAGAATAAATCTTCAGGATAGATCAGACTGCTGTCAGATACGTTGATATTATTCAAATTGACTTGAGCGATCTGCTTAGCCGTAGTCGTAGTTTGTGCCAACACAAAAAGACCTTGAATGTGACACGTGTAACGCCCATTATCAATCGTATCAATATGTGGATCACCCACACCCGATGCTAAAAAAAGATGTTTTTCCGAAGTTCAAATAGACACGATCAAGAAAGTGTTTTCTTACATGATCCAGGTTGTTCATATCCGCTGCAACTACTTGTTGGATGAATTTGATAGTAAAGACGGCAAGGATCATTGACTGATGGTCCATAAAAGAACACCGGAGAGCAACATTGATCACTTAAAGATTTACGATGATGACTATTTGTGACAATTCGTATAAATCGAACTTACTGGAATTGACTTCGTCGTTGCCAGGGAAATGATCGAAAGAGAATATTCGGCTTAGATAATACTGAACCAGCAAAATCACCAGACGTTAATAAAACGCCAGTATTACTTTTATAACAACATGTCTAAAGAATGGAACTTTAGTGTTATTATTCTTGACGGAAAGATACACATGATTACCTGAGCTCGGAGACTTTTCGAAATTCCTCCGACACGAATTCGATTGATAACCATTGGTCCATAACAAACAATACTTTGTGACCATTCGAAAATGGTTTCACTTTGTAACGCATTGAAACGCCGATCGTTCTGTGCTTGACTAAGCGTACACGGACATGGAATTCTTGGGTTATTTCTGCAAAAAATAAAAAACCTAAGTAAGAAATATCAATTTCTGGTCACGTACATAATATCGTTGAGATTTTCTGAAGGATTTAAAGCATTATAAGCTGCTTCTTGTAAATACGATACTTCGCATTGAGTTAGAAATCGACCACCGATGTAGAAACTCTTATGTGAAGATTGCTCTAGAAAGCGAAAATAAGGGTATGTATTTTTGTTCTTGTTGTCATAGCGTATTTCATTTCAGTACTTAAGAATGCAGCATTTTGTTTGTATGCTGGATCGTTGAGAACTTGAGATAGAGAGGATCCTCCACGATAACCTAAATGCAGCGATTTGCACAAAATCATCATAGCTTTCTGTTTAACATACCAACGAATGGTCGAAGCGAACCGAGGTTACTTGTCAGATTACTATAGTCAAATGACAGGTAAGATCGTAGAATTGGATACGATGAAGTAGAAGTTTCATATGTATCGATTAAGTAAGCAGAGAATGATAAACTCTAAAAGATCGAATTTTGACGGAAAAAAACTAGGTTATTGAGAACGAAACATAATAATTACTATCGATTTATTATTTTCTGGTAGTTGATAGAAGAGATTTTGCCATTCGATTCGAACAGCTCGACTTGCGGCAAAATTGAATGAACAAGATTTTGTTGGACATGCTTCACTTATCGTTCGTTGTATAATCGGATAATAGACATTTACATCACTTTGACTAGCATTGATTGAATTAAACCAGCTAACTGTTATTTTTGAATATGTCTATATAGATAGATGCGAATATAATCACGTCATTTAAGTTCAGAAAAGCAACAATGCGATGATGAAACTTACGCTATCATAACTAAGATCGGCCCAAAAAGGAGCTGCTATGGCTTGGCCAGCTAATTGAGAAAAAGTAGATCGAGTCATTGTTTGGCCATAATAGGGTGTACCCAGACTGACATAGCCTTTATTTGCGATCTAGAAAATCCTCAATTATGGTTCATTCCTATATCAATATTCATTATACCCAAAGCCGATTGACAGATTGTCCGAAGGGCTCCATTGTATTTGGCAATATATACGAAAATGTTTCTAAATTTGAATCGCGTATACTGCTTGTTAGTGTCGCGGTAAGCGCTGAAAACAATTAAGAAGAAGAAAAACACAATTGATGATTGGCAGCTTTCAATCAAGAATTACTATGACTTACTTTCACACGGCGGCGAACCACGGCATAGCTCGTTCTGTGTTGCATTACCTCCACCGCAGTCGCTGCTACTGCAGCTTTCACCAGAAAAGGAATCCAAACATGCCCGCACCACTTGCTGATACGCAACACCACACGACGGCGAACAGTTACCGATTGCAACCCAATTAGTCCAAACACAATCTAAAAACAAATTCAACGCAAGATGATGCTTCACAAAAAATAATCCTAAATCCGGTTACTTCGAGCAACCGCAGTGCTGGTCGTCGTTGCAGTTGTGATTGTAGTTGTGCTTGTCGTAGTACTCGAAGTCGTACTAGTGCTTAGAGTTGATGTCGTGGTTGTGCTTGTCGTTATCGAACTACTAGTATCTGTACTAGTCGTCGTTGTACTAGTCGTTGAAATTGTGACTGTACTGCTGGTTGAAGTTGTGGTGGTAGTTGACGCTGTATCTGTGGTGATTGTTGTTGTGGTGGTAGTTGACGCCGTATCTGTGGTGGTTGTTGTTGTACTGGTGGTCGATGTGCTCACGGTTGTAGTTGAAGTACGCGTGGTAGCAGTTGTAGTCGAGGCTGTATCTGTAGTGGTTGTTGTTGTGCTTGTAGTGGATGTGCTCACAGTTGTAGTTGTAGTGCTCGTGGTAGCAGTTGTAGTCGAGGCTGTATCTGTAGTGGTTGTCGTTGTGCTTGTAGTGGATGTGCTCACAGTTGTAGTTGTAGTACTCGTGGTAGCAGTTGTAGTCGACGCTGTATCCGTAGTGGTTGTTGTTGTACTGGTGGTCGATGTGCTCACGGTTGTAGTTGAACTGCTCGTAGTAGTTGACGCTGTATCTGTAGTGGTTGTTGTTGTGCTTGTAGTAGATGTGCTCACAGTTGTAGTTGTAGTACTCGTGGTAGCAGTTGTAGTCGACCCTGTATCGGTGGTGGTTGTCGTTGTGCTTGTAGTGGATGTGCTCACAGTTGTAGTTGTAGTACTCGTGGTAGCAGTTGTAGTCGACGCTGTGTCTGTAGTAGTTGTTGTTGTACTGGTGGTGGATGTGCTCACGGTGGTAGTTGAAGTGCTCGTAGTAGTTGACGCTGTATCTGTAGTGGTTGTGGTAGTGCCAGTGGTATTGTTTGTGCTGATGTCACTTGTTGATTCAGTATGAGGACTTGATACGTGTATTTCGTTTGTTGTGGCTGTGGTTGATCCGAGGGCAGCTGTGGATATTTCGTCGGTAGCTATTCCCCCAGAAGAAGTGCTGACTGTTGCGTCAACGGAGCTGGTTGAGATAGCGCTTGGGGTAGAGGCAGATATTCCATTGGTGGACCCTATGTTAATAGACGTGATTGAACTTGAAGTAGTCGCAGGGGTCGAAGTTTCAAGTGTTCCTGTCGCTGTTGAGCTTAATGCGGGTCCAGTTGAACTGGGTGAACTTGAAAGAGTGGATGGTATGGAAGATGTCTCTGCTCCTGTCCCACTAGCTGTAGTTGTGACAATTTGAGTAGCCAGGTTTGATATAGTGGCCGATGTAGGAGACTCGTTTGTCATTGCTGATGATATTCCGCCTGTGGATGTCGTTGAACCTGTATTAGTTGAAGTATTCGAAATTGGAACAGTGGTGAACGAGGAAGATCCAAACGTTTCTGTTAAAGTTGTTCCAGTGATGGAAGTGGATGTAGAAGATTCACTTGTGATGGTTGGTGCCGTTTCACTCTCAGTAATTGCAGTAATGGAACCCGTAATGCCTGTACTGGCACCCGATATAGGTATTTCGCTTGCTGAGTAAGTTGAAGCGGTACTGGTCAAAGTACTCGGAAGAGTAGCAGATGTGGAAGACTCAGATGCCACGGTACGAATTGTATCAGTAGCTGTAATTGTAGTTATTGAACTTGTTGAAGAAATTGCTGCGGTTTCGGTAGCGATGGTCGCACTGAGTGTGGTTGAGGTAATCGAAGCCGTTGAAGTCAATGTACCAGTTGATGTAGGCAATTCGCTGACGAGTGCAGTCGAGCTTGAACCGGTACCCAATGACAGAGATTCAGATGTTTCAGTTTCTATTGTTTCAGTGATTGTAGTACTTGCTGTAGAAGCTTCACTCGTTACACCTGTATTGGTGCCTGATGTTGGTATTTCACTTGCTGATGCAGTTGAACTGGAAGCAATAACGGGTGTGGAAGTTTCGAATGTTCCAGTTTGAATAGATCCACTGATTGTCGTTGTGTCTATCAAACTGCTTGAACTTGTATTAATGCCTGTTGTTGACATACCTACTGATATAAAAGGTTCACTAGTAATTATGGATGAGCTGGTCGAGCTCGGTGTTTCAGCGATTGAGATTGTACTAAGAGGAGTAGGAGGTTCCGTAGCCATCGTTATGTTACTGAAACTAGTTGGATTGGAGGACACCATTGGTGTGGAAGTAGTATATGTCGAGGCTGCTATCGTCTCGGAAGCCGTCAATGTACTAGTAGCTGATGTTGAGGCTTGATGTGTTACTACTGTGTTACTAACTTCTAACGTAGAAAACTCCGTCGTAGTGATATTTTCTGCCGTCGTTACTGAAGTAGTTTCTGTTTCAATGGTTGTACCAATTGAATTTTCTGCTATCGAAGATTGAGAAGAGTTCATAGTTGGAGCGACAGTCACGGCAATCGGTGAACTTGTGAAATCTGTATCATATGTTAACGTAGCTGTCTCGCTCGTTACCGTAGTAGGCAGAGACACGGTCGGCGTGCTTGTTATATGAGTAGTCGCTGTTGTTATTTCACCCGACGTTCCACTAAAGTCAGCCGTACTCAGAGTATCGGTATATGACGTAGCTTCAGTAGTGACGATATTTGTCATCGATATGTTTTCGGTAGATGCTTCTGGTGCTGCTGTGGACGTATCGTATTCGGTGGTTACTACTATCGTTGTAGTAGCATTGAGTACAGTTGAATCAGTAGTTTCTGTTACATCTATGGTTTCTGACGATGACGTAATTTCCGCTGTTGCCGTAGTGGCTAATAATGTTGTTTCAATAGTTTCGTTAGAAGGTACACTCGTACTGACAAATTGAGATGATGTTTCTGCTTCCATCGTAGACGCAGTCGATGTTATTGTCGAGCTAAGTGTAGAAGAAGTTGATGTGGTAGAAGTGCCGCTTGTTGTAGTAGTTGACAGATAACTTGATGTTGGTTGAACAAAATCTTGACAGAATTGTCCTTGATAATTAGGATAACATACGCATGAGCTATTATCACTGGTACAATTTCCTGTGAAAGAATATTCGCATTCCTTACAAACTGGTATGACACTCGTAAAATTCACTAGAATAAAAAGAAAACAATCGGATACTTGTGTTAACCTTCGGTGAATATCAAAGAGGAAAACTTACAAAAGTCTGAAGTGTTTGGATTCATTATTATTCTTACTGTCAGAAGATAACTGTCATTTAAACTAACATTGTTCATAAAGAGACCATTTACCAGTGCAATACGTTTTGGAACATCGAGTGAGACATTTAATGTAACTAAATACTCGATATCAGGCGGATTGATACTACAATCATGAAAAATATGAAATCAATGACAGCTGTACGATAAACAATCAGAATTTGTACCTAGTTTGATTTATTTGAACGCACGTGTCATTACATGTAATGTTCATTCCATGCAAAACGTTTGATATCTACAAGACATAAACGATTGTTTAGATGAGCACAAAAGTAAACAGTTGAAAATAATCATGTCGTACTTCATTTTCAAGGGTAGATGATGTGGGAGATCCAACAGGAACTGAACGAACTTTCCGCGCGCTACTAGATGTAGACGTGAAATAGAGAAAGAATATTGTTGTTTGTTGTTGTAAACTCTGTGTTGATGTTTCAACGTAACTCGTCGACATTGTTGGTTCAGTAGAACTGGTGGTTTCAGACGTTGATTCGCTCGATACGGATATGGAACTCGTTGTTGGAATCGTCACGGTCGAAATGATACTAGCTTCTGTTTCAGATTCAGTAGCTAAATCGAAGAAGTAGTGTTATCGCTTTTTCGATTATTTAGCAACTTACCTGTGACTTCTGTTGACGATTCAGTACTTATTTGCAAAGAACTATTTTCTGTAACAGATCCTACTGTAGTAGAGCTCAAAGTTGATGATTCAGCGATTGCTAATTGTATGTCAAAGGAGAATTATAGTAGGTTTATCGCAGAGAAGCTGTCTTACTTTCTGATGTTGATTGTTCAACACTAGTTTGTATAGTTGAAGATGTTTCACTGGTATCTGCTTGACTACTTGTAATAGATTCTGATGAATCCGTTGCGGTTGTCGTCTCTGTAGCCGATACAGTACCTAGAAAGACACAGTTCAGATGCGAAAATCCAAGAAATGTGTTCTGCTCAATATTTTCTCGGTAATTCACTCTGATGCATGATTTCATAGCAAGTACTTACCACTGACTGCTGTGGTGACCGTTGGTATTGTTGTGGAAATGGCTTCTGATGCATTACTTGTTAGAGTAAAATCAGTTGACTGCTCAGTAGGACTAAGTGTCGTTAATTGGACGAGCGTGCTGGCAGATGTTACGTCTGTTATGGCTGTTTCGGATGTTGCTTAAATGATCGAAAGAGAAAAAACAAATAGTGTCTTTCCTTGAAAGTCTTTTAGGCCGATCAATGTCATCAAATAGTGTTTGTATTATACTTTAGTTAAGTAAAAGATTGAAGAGGTTTTCGTTTTCAAGTGAAAGACAAAGATCAACGTCGATAAAACATAATAAGCCAATAAAACGACGAGTTTTATTCGAGTAGAGAAAACTCGAAAAGAGAATATGATTCGACTCGGAACTGATAGATGAAAATATCAATAACAATAACTTACTTTCAAATTCACTACCACTACCATCAAACGCTGATGACACTAACGATAAACTAAGCGCCCAGGCATTAACATTGGCATCGGAGAGTAACGATCCATCATCATTTTCTTCATTCGATAATTTCGATTGTAATGGACCAGTTGGCATCGATGAATTATCCGAGAGTACATCACGTTTACGAAGCTCATGAGATTTCTCTTTCTTAGTCGATATTGGCAATCGGTGTGCAAGAATCTCTGTGCCTGCTAGACGGTACCCTTCCTCAATCGGTTGTATATTTTGATTTTTCGTATTCAATGGTGGTTGAAAACGTGTATCTGTATCATCGGTATTATCATTCGATGTCAATTCACGTATTGTTCCTGTGAGTTCGGAATATATCTGTTGATTGTGTATACTCAACCAATCATCGCGTTTCGTACTCGATCCTACATAATATAAAATATACATTTAGATGTTTTTACGATTGTTTTTTTTTCGAATATGTCATATCTTCATAGAAACATAAACAATGAATCAGACACGATGATTTCGAAATATTATTCAAAATACGCGGAAGGCAAAATGAGATTGAGCTTTTTAGAGCTTCGTCCCATTCAAAGTTAAATATTTATATTTGACTCGACAGAAAAAGCTCCATTAATCTATTACTAATATCTCATTGAAGTAACATATCCCGACGCATGACAAATTTGTGCTACCTTTTTTTTTAATATCTGACTTTCAATATGAAGGTTATCCTTCATTATATTCTACTGAAGAAGTAAATTGAAGTTCTCTGTGTGTATAATCATATACACGCATGTAATTTTCAAACTTTACAACCTCTTATTATGTCCCTATGTACTTATAGAGCACTAAACTTTGTTTTACCTGTAACAGTACTTAATGCGGAGGTAATTGCTATTAAAGATAGAAGATAAGCGACTGGTAGGAGTCGTGCGGAGACGATTGTATGTTGTACGTTCATGATGCGACAACAATCTGAAACAATTGACAATTATGTATGAGAAAAAGAAAGATTCAATGATAATCAAATAGAAGAAAGAAACGAAATGAGCTGTATGGATGTGTGTGTATTTGGCAGAAGGAGAATTTTGAAAGAATTCAAAAGGAACAATACAGAATTGGACAGAAAAAGAAAAAAAAAGAACGGAACTGAATGAGAGAGAAAGAGCGCAAGTAAACAGAACTTGAATCTATGAAACGACTAGTAAAATTCAAGTTAAAAGAGAAAAGAAGAAAAAAGTTTCTTCATTCCGTGATTAATACTGCCTTTGTAACAGAGATTTGTACACAAAAAAACGTAGCTTTGATTTTGAATGAAAAAATTGTGCACGGAGTCCATCACACCTACACACTTGAGTCGTTTGTCATTGTAAAGTTGAGACAGCCTTAAGTAAAATAAGCTTCTAGAAAGCTTGTTCTAACATTCAAAGTAAAGCAAGGCAGTCATCTCTTCCTTCCACTCACTGTATGATCCTCAAACAAACGCGGCAGAGAAAAGGAAAGAGAGAAAGAGAGAATATCCTCTTGACACCTACATTCATGCGAAAGCTTAGTAATATATTGTTTTTACAGTTCGTCAATATGTTTAAATCATGCTTTTCATTTGCTTAAATACTTTTCTATCGAACAGTTTTGGTTTAAGAAGTGTATTCTTGATTGTTCTTCGAAATAGAATAACATGGATGGAACTTAGTTAACTAAAAGTAAAAGTTCTTTGACAAGACATGATGTTGGAATCTTGTGAGATATATCAAACGACATCTAATGAATGAACATTCGTTTGAAAAGTTTATTTAGTGGCTTTCATCATGTTTTCAATACGTAAATACTTGCTTTGATAGAAGCCTGAACTACACTCTTCCCATATGTATTAAACATCATTATCGAACACAAGAGAAGTCAAAAAAAGTACTGAAGATTATTTAGTTACTCTCCCACTCTCTCTCTCTCTTTGCCGCTTTCTTTCAAAGTCGATTGAACAATCTTTTCTTCGTCAATTTTCTCCTGTTCTTCACCTTTTATTACATGCACTTGTCTTTCGGTGCATTCGAATTTACGTTAAATTGCTGACAAGTTCACAGAAGAAAGAAGACGAAGAAAAAACTTCAATTTGAATAATCAGACATACGACATGATTTGCTCTGAAACATTCCGATTTACTGTGCGCCTAGACTCTCATCAGAACAAAGGAGATCTTAACTTTGCGTACCAATTTCATAGATATAATCTTCTGAACTATAAAGTCAACAGACAGTCACACTATAGCCTTGAGCACCTTTAGTGTCTTAACCAGGCACACCCGTCGATGATGAAAGCGACACAAGTAATCAGCTCATTGAGATATTTGTGCCAAATTTAATACGTATGCAAATAGATTTGAGGAAGAAGAAAAAAAAAGTGAATTAACCGTAGAAGTAAGCATCGGTAACTGCTGTTTTCATCTGCATCATTAAGATAAACATTTACAAATCATTGGCTAAAGTACATTTGAATCAAGACAAGTTTGTTTTTGCTTTTTTTTCGTAGGAAAAACGAAATTTTCTACGCTGCAAAATAAAACGACACGATGCAGAAGGCGTTAAAACGGCCCTCATTAACATCACTGATTCCGGCTGAATGCGTTCCATCTCGACAACAATAACAACAGAAGCAGTTGCAAACAAATGTCTCCGTATCAACTTGAAATTCTAACGCGATAACAAGGTGACAGAGTATAAAAGTACATAAATTTTGACAAGAATAATCTCTGGTAAAATTACATGAAATCGAATCTGATTTATGAATGATGACAGCTGAATGATTACTCCTTGGAACAGAATTCGACAAGAACTGCAAACTAAAACAATAATCAACTATCATCTTGCTACGTCAAGCTTCTGTTTGAATAGATTTCTAGAGGTTTCATTAATTTCAAGTGTTTGCTACCGAACACATTACGAAACGATTTTTTTGCGCTACGAAAAGAGTGAGACGTGAACAGAGGAAAAGAAAGGAGAGAAATCCAATTGACTAAATAGAAACGATACTTTGCCAAAAATCGCAGTTTCAAACGATAAAGCTAACAGGAAAATTGAATAATGACACATAATTTCGATAATTATACATGTCAATGGGGATCTTTTACATCGGGTAACATTGAATACAAATGTACAAGTACACGAGATCTTCCGGTTTTGAAAAATATTTTTCTCTGAGAACGCGTTTTTTTACATTTTCAAGTAGACATAGCTTCATCTTATATTTTTCAATATAACGTACAAGTGCAAAAGGAAAGAAAACATCCGTCGTTTTTCGATCAAAAATTCAAGTAAGGCAACGCGAACGAAAAAAAAACACATCGCTTAGAGTGATGAAATTCCGCATCAAAATGTTTCAAAGCAGCAGCAGCATTCAGTAAAACATTCTGCTGGCTATGAGTGATCTAACTCACTGACGAAAGAAAAGAACGAAAAGAATAGTTGAATTTTTAAACAATAGTACATCAGACGTACGTAATTGTTGTTACTGACAACAAATTGGCTTTGTGAAGTGATGTTTACATGACTGTATGACTCATCGTCTTATTTTCGGACGAAGTCTAAACATTACTAATGCATGTGATTTTGGAAAGAAAAACAATGCAAATCACGACACAAATTGTGAATAAAATCTAATGCGTTTGTTTTTCTTTCAATGGAAAGTGGATGAATGGTGACAATTGTACGTAATCATGAACTTCAACGCATGGAATTTGTTTCTTTATTTTCTTTCGATTTCGTGCGCTTAATCAGATTTACTACAAATCATGCGACTAGATGCAATAACAATAAACTGTTTCTTGGATTGTTGTTTTTCGAGAACGGATTGACAGAAATTTCGAAGAACTGCACATTTATTGTGACCATCGACAAAAAAGGTTCACAGAGATAGACAAAGCGATAAGAGTGCATGCGTATAGATAAGTATTCGATTCTTAAAAAAATATAAACATCTTAATCACCAGAGAATGAATGATAAAAATAAAGGCGGCCAGCACGGTATGAAATAGATTGACGAATTGTAGTTTTATTTGAGAAACTAAAATGAAAAGTAGAAGTCCAATTTCGAAGGAAAGGTATCGATGATCATACCGAAAAGAGACCAGTTGGTTTTGAGTCGACATTCGGTCTCGGTAGTTTCAAATTTGGATTCATTACTTCGAGCATTTCATTATCGTCGTAAAGTTCATCTAATGGATCGTGAAACGTTGGGTTTATATCTTCATTATCGATAATAGCGTCAAGCTCATCGATGGGATCGTAACTACTCAATGTTGATGCTGTGTCCGACGGCAAACTAGCAAGTACAGCATTCGTGTTAGGTCTTGTTATTGTTGCGCGTAGTTTTTCACCCATCCTTTGATCTAGATCTTTGAAAAACGTGCTATCTGTTGTATTACTATCTGCCGGTTCGGAATCAGGTGGATGAGTGCTTGCAGTAGAGTTTGTCGGTTCTAAATTGGTTGGAGCATTTTCCGCATTTACGGGCGTTGGAACTTTAGCACGGGGCAAATGCCATATACGACGAATCTGGAACTCTCTATTAAAAGACAAATTAGAGACAAGGCGAAATTGATTCAATCTAACGTACTCGGGATGATGACGTCGTCGGCGACGCCATGCTGCCATTGCCCAAAGACAGCATGTCACCGCAGCAAATAGACCAGTTAAGCCAGCCAGAACACCAATGATAATCGGAGTCCAACGAGAGAGTGAAAATGTAGATGTGACTGGTTTTGGGCGTGGCTTTGAACACAAATCACCTTCATACGGTGATGACAGATCTGCCTCGTTCACATAACATCGGCATTTTTCAATGTTCTGTGACGGATCACACACTCCACGCACTGGATTTACACCGCATAAACTACATGTGTGGATAAGAAAACACGACGTTGTATTCATCACAACAACTGGAAAAAATTTGAATTTCTACTATTTAGTATGCTACAAATTGAATATTTACCTATCTCATCATCTCTTCCGCATGGATTCTTAGTAAGGACTGTGACATCTCGACCTTTGGTTAGATTATCAAGAATTTCATACAAATCATTCAATAATGTAACGTTATTATTTGGAGTTCGCACAACCAACGTCACATTTACTTTTCCGGGCGTTGCACATCTAAAACAACAACGAATTAACGCTTTTTTGACTGAACACGTGTTTACTTACGACAATGACTGATTATAAATAGGTTCAATCACATATAATGAATTGCTTTTACTCACACCTGCTATTATCTGAACGGAAGGGATTTATAGATAGGTGAAAGTGTACTAAAAGAAGACCTACATCTGTTACAGTTTCATTAGCATTTGAACAATTCAATATCAGCACAATGGTCGTCACATTTGGTAAATCTAAATCAACATTTATCATGATTTACTTTCGAGTAATATCCGAAGCATATACCTGTTTCATCGGGTATCGTGGTTGTCATTGATGTTGTAGTAGTGGTTGATAAGGATGTTTGTGAAGTGATAACTGAAGTGATCGAGTGATCAGTTTCCGTATTTACTGGTCCTGTTATTGATGATGTTCCCGTAGCTTCTTGGACTGTTGTTGCTGAAGTATCTCCGGCTACTAATCCTGTTGTTGAAGGTGTGTTGGTCGTGCCTTCTCCTGCAGCTGCTGAAGTATCTCCGGCTACTAATCCTGTTGTTGAAGGTGTGTTGGTCGTGCCTTCTCCTGCAGCTGCTGAAGTATCTCCGGCTACTAATCCTGTTGTTGAAGGTGTGTTGGTCGTGCCTTCTCCTGCAGCTGCTGAAGTATCTCCGGCTACTAATCCTGTTGTTGAAGGTGTGTTGGTCGTGCCTTCTCCTGCAGCTGCTGAAGTATCTACGGCTACTAATCCTGTTGTTGAAGGTGTGTTGGTCGTGCCTTCTCCTGCAGCTGCTGAAGTATCTCCGGCTACTAATCCTGTTGTTGAAGGTGTGTTGGTCGTGCCTTCTCCTGCAGCTGCTGAAGTATCTATGGTTACCGGTTCCGTCATTGGTAATGAATCCGTGGTTACTGATCCTGTTGTTGCGGGTGTACTCGTCGTGCTTTCCCCTGCAGCTGCTGAAGTATGTGTGGTTACTGATCCTGTTGTCAATGTCACTTCTAAAACAATCATGATCATTCGCACTCCGAGTTTCAAACGTCAATTAGTTCTGCAACTTACCACTACTGTATTCAGCTGTCGAATATGTTGCTAAATCAATCAGACAATGTCACTTTCTATCCTAGTATTGCAAATCATCAGAACCTACTTTCTCCGCTTCCATCTGTTGTGAGTTCAACGTTTTGCAGTGCTTTGAACATATCCTCTTCGTTGACTTGAAGAAACTCGTTGATCTCGTTGTCCGCCTGAAGCAGATGTTGATGTTGTGATGAAATATCGAGATCGGTATCGTAGCTAGGCTCATTCAACAATCGTCTACCAAGATAACCGAGTGAATGATTAGTCGTGGACGTGGAAGTGGTTGTTTTTGTCTGAGGCACTGTTGTACATGTCGTCGTTGACGTGTTGTATGTTGTAGCAGTTTGAAACGTTTTTGATGATACACTCAGCTTTGATTTGCTCACTACGGGTTTATCAAGATTTTCGGGAAGAAGTATGAAACCTTCATTGATTGGATGGATTTCAATAATTTTATTTTTGGACTTCGAGTCCAATGTATTCAATGACAGATCTTGAATATTGCTAGACAATGTCTGTTCGGAAGATATTTCTGCAGATATTGCCATAATACCATTGTAGACTAGAATAAAGAAAAGATTCGCAAGTTACAATTACCAAAAGAATATATTAATCACCTAATAGATATGTAATAAGCATTACTGAATATGGTTCGTTGAAATGAAAAACCGAGTGATGTCGATGCATACTGAAAATAAGTCTAAAAATTGTCATTCTTGAATTCAACAAAATATCATATACATTCGTTCTACTTCACTGAAATAGATTCTATTTTCAAAACTACTGCTTTCGATTAAGCGAACTGGCAAGGTTGACAAACTGCACAAGCGTTAAAAATATTTCGATATTTGAGACCAGGATTATCATCTACCGTACATGTCTACCTTATTACTACTAATATTTGTTTCTTGGTAAAGAGAAAAATAAAAAAATAGTCTTCACAACAAAAAACCCTTCTCTGATTGCTAATGAACGTTAACTACTGCGCTCAAAGAATGAAGCCTAAGAAATTCGACAAAGAAAACAATCAATTGCCACCGGTTAACAAATATTCATATCGACTTTGCGAATGACAAGTGATTTCAAATGACGAATAATGAAAAGAACTCAGGGTATTATTTTCTCTTTTCGGCTCTTCAAATCTTCCTTCATGCCATGCCACCTTCAGATTTCCTTAAAATCTAATCTCTTTCATAACACGGATCCAATTACCTTCAATCGTGCGAAAAAAAAATTTCTTTCGTTTTCTTTCAATATCATTATTTACTTTCCATATGATTAATCTTTGGAATAATGAAACGAAGGTGTGATTACCAAATTAACATGAAATTCTCATGTTTGTCTGGTTGAGTTGCTTCATAACTTTCCGACTAATTATGCTCGAAAAATATCGAAGTCATTTGAAATAACATGTGCAGTTTAATTGATTTAGAAGCTGACATCATTTTCTTTTTACCTTTTTTTCTTCTTATGAATGTAATATGATCCTTTCTAACATCAACAGAAGTTCGAAGGATATGTATATACCAGACGTTGTCGATATTGATTATGCTATCAATTGATATGACATGAACGATCGCAGAGACGCAAAGGAGTTCTTCAAAGAACTCCACGGTTTCCCTTAGTCAAATATTTTTTATTTGATTATTTATCGAACCGATCAGATAGAATTCATTTACTAGAAATCGGCAGAAAAATATGAATTCTGACAGAAGATTTCGAAATAACGACACACTTAAGAAATCGATTCTCTTATGAAAAAAATAACAGCTCAGTTTCTGTGTAAAGATAGTTTGAATCTCTGACATGATGTTGTCGATCTTTTGCGGACTATGCGATGCTTTGATTTTTCTTATTTGTGAATAGCAAAATTCAAAGTAATACCATTGATGTACTGTGGAGCAAGCCGAAAAGCTGTCGTGTACGAATATTAGAGTTAACTGCCGATTATAAACTTTATACGATTCTGTTCTCAAAAGTAGTATACCCGTGTCAATAAAGTACAGTAGGTCAAAACAAATGATCGGATTACCTTTTGACAACAAACTGAAAAATAATTATATTAGTACATTTGCGTATCTGTGCAAATGACTTTGAGTGAAGATATGTGTAAAAACGTTGATTGGTAGGCGAACGCTTCTCACAATACATTCGTTTTGGATATTTGAGTAGTTATTTGATGTTTTTTGTCATGTTTCAATAGAAACTGATTAGTAATCAATTATATTACACTCGGGAGGCGAAGTTACGCTTAAACAGAACATTCAAAAATTAAAAATACTGTTCATTTTCTTGACTTTGAGTCTGTTGATTGAGTTCTATATATATACCTTCATTGTCGAGAATCGCATCCAATTCATAGATAGGATCGTAACTGTCCAATGATGATAGCGTGTCAGATGCTATATCGAATGCCCTAATACTTCGCGTGGATGGTGATGTCGTAGTAGGAGATTGTTCAATCAGTTGTCGGTCAAGTTCTCGATAGAACTGGCTGCTTATTGAGTCCATTTCAGGATTATCCTGGTTTGTTTGATGAGTATTTGATGTTGGTGTGATGCTTTCGACGTAGTGGGAGACTTGGTCTGGAGTGAGAGAAGCTGGTGGTTGAATTCGCGGTAAATGCCGTGAATGTTGAGCTTGTTGTCGAAGTCTATTTGTAAACATGTAAGCAACAATCAGTTAGAAGAACAAAAACCTTACGACGTTTTAATAGCTTGCTGTCGCAAACGACGTCGACGTTGTAAAAATGTAATGACTATCAGATAAATGGTTATTATAAGAAGCAGGCCAGATAAACCGGCTAAAATACCGATCACGATTGGAGTCGAGCGCGAGGATGGAACTTTAGATACAGATGATTTCGTACAGAAATCACCTTGATAGAGCGATGATGGATCTTCTTCGTTGGTAAAACAACGACATTTGCTAACATTTTGTTTTGGATCACAGACTCCACGTGGTGGATTCGCACCACACAGATTACATGTATCAATGAGAAAACAAGACGTCACAGTTTGAACTTCAGCTTGAAACGAAAACAGAATAATTATCGACGTTTTTCATTTTATTACTCACTTGTAAACCCTTCCATTCCACACGTATTTGTACCATACAAGCTTACACCCATGTGTGTTGCTATATTTCGCAGAACACGGTAAACTTCATTTAGTATTGTTACATTTTTATCAGTGATAATTGTTATCGTGGCATTCGCTTCCGTAGATATTCGATAGCTAAATCAGAACAGAGCCAGATCATGGAATCAGCACCTCGACTTACGTACTACAATGAATTTAAAGTGAAATTAATGTGAATAATAGGATATGTAAAACTGCTCGTAAAATTAGTCACTATCTAAATTTAAAAGAAAACGAATATCAGGAGACTATTTTATCCGAATACGCACTTCTTTTAATGTTTCACCAGCATTTGAACAATTCAATATCAGCAAAAAGGTTGTTACATTTGGCAAATCTAAAGTTACATTAACCATGCTTCTCTTTTCAGTGACTATATACCTATCGTACCGGTCACCGTAATGGTCATTGTTGTTGTTGTTGTAGTAATGATTGATGTAAATGTCTGAGAGGTAGCAACTGAAGTTATTGAATGATTCATTTGAGTAGTTACTGCTTCTGAGCTTGACGCTGTTGTTGTTACGAATGTCGAATCTGAATCAAGTTATTATCCATCCTCGTTAATGACACGTTTCCAACGTCAATTAGTTCTGCAACTTACCACTACTGTATTCAGCTGTCGAATATGTTGCTAAATCAATCAGACAAACAATGTCACTTTCTATCCTAGTATTGCAAATCATCAGAACCTACTTTCTCCGCTTCCATCTGTTGTGAGTTCAACGTTTTGCAGTGCTTTGAACATATCCTCTTCGTTGACTTGAAGAAACTCGTTGATCTCGTTGTCCGCCTGAAGCAGATGTTGATGTTGTGATGAAATATCGAGATCGGTATCGTAGCTAGGCTCATTCAACAATCGTCTACCAAGATAACCGAGTGAATGATTAGTCGTGGACGTGGAAGTGGTTGTTTTTGTCTGAGGCACTGTTGTACATGTTGTCGTTGACGTATTAGTCAAAGAGAAAATACGCATTTCTGGCGATAAGTTGAATGCACGATTCAGTTCAACTTGTTCGGATGTAATTTGTACAAAATTAAGCACTAAAATAAAGGTTGCAGTCAACTGTAAAATTGAAAAAGAAAACTTTTCACCTGACACAAACAGTAAAACGAATGTATTAACATTATAGACATTCATTCGCATGTTTCTTTATTTTGTCGTTTTATTTCGGCAAAAGTACTACTGAAGTCGATCGGGCTACAATGTGAGATGTGCTGATTCAAATAATTGAATATATTCTCACATTTTTATCGTTTGTCGAAAAAGATTCTCAAGTGATGTTATAAAAGTAGAAGTTCTACTTTGTCTTGTATTTTATCACAGACGACCTTGTCTTATTATCCTAGTAACCACCAACAAGCGTTCGAAATAGTGACGCGATAGATTGAAATAGTTTAACATATGACAAGAATTTTGCTAGCCGTTTCATAATATTTGATTAAGGCTCATATCAATAAATTTAAATGACATTTCGTTCCGAATAGAACTGACTGCGGCATATTCAACATTTTATTATTTTTTTTCCTTATCTTTATGAGAGGTGATTTGTTCTTTGAAAGAAAAATGTATTATTTCATTAATTGTCTTGTTTCTGATGCAAGAGCCGTTTCTTAGTTATAACGATCTATATGCAAGACTTCAATGTACATGCACATGAATGCTTCTATATCAACCATCGAAAACGATAAACGAATAAAAAACTCTTCCAGTTAATACACTTTGATAATCACCTGGAAACGACATCATCTACAGAATGACAACTTCTATTGGTTCTTCTCGTTTAGTTAGAATGAATGAATCATTCCTCCCTTTCGTCATGCACATTAATATACCGTCTTTCAATACTTTATTTTTCATCTAAACTGGTATTAAAACTGAAAAATCTTCTCCAGGTTTATCATGTGTGGTATTTGCTTTTGTTTGCATACACAGGTAAAAATTTAACTTCGCTATTCAAAGTTTTCCTACTAGCAAATCTTTCATTTTAGCCCAATGCAGCAGTTCCGATTGACTATACTCCATTAAATGCACGTGGTCCGGATTTTCAAAAACAATATGGACCTATCGCCTTCACCTCAGATTTATACATAACATTTGCAGTCAGTGTTCTTTCCATTCGAGGCTTCAAACAAGAACAACCATTCGTTGATGAAGATGGAAATGTACTTATATACAACGGAGAAATCTACGAAGCACCTTTTCAAGTTAGTTATTATGAAACTTTTTCATCGCGAAGAAAACGTTCGTTATTTACAGATTAAAGAAAGTGACAACGATGGAGTACTTCTGTTTGATCATTTTAAACAATGTTCTACAGATATGGATATTTGTCAATTGATATCGCAGTTAGAAGGCTGTTTTGCTTTCATTTATTATCAAGTAGGAAATATTCAATCGATTGCATGTCGTTTCCCTACGTTTGGTAATCATTGTCTTTAGTTTAGAAACAAACCAGTTGTCTATACTACGGACGAGATCGTCTCGGACGACGAAGTCTCATGTATGCAATGATTGATGATAATCAATCGAATTTAAAGATGATTTTGACTTCTGTTCGTCTCCAGCAATTCGTAAGAAATGTCTTATTGCTCGCTTTTGTTCATCATTCATTCATTCGTTTCTTGTGATCAGTCATATACAGAACTTGACTCAAGTATTCTTCATAAACTATCCATCAAATCAACGGACGGTACATTTCAAATTGATACAATTCCATATGTTAAACCAACAATAAATATTATTTGTTCTGAACCACCCGATACTCTGCTAACTGAACTGGAAAATGATTCGATATTTCAAAATATCTCCACAACATTTTTCAATCAATTGCATGCAGCTGTTCGACGACGTCTTGCAAATCTTCCGACCCTCTGCCGACGATGTAAGCGGTTGACGGATGGAACTCTTCGTCCAGAAAACGGTTGTCCACATGCTAAATTAGCAATACTCTTCTCGGGTGGAATCGATTCCAGTGTGTTAACAGCGTTAGCTGACCGAATTCTGCCAAGTAATGAACCAATTGATCTACTCAACGTAAGTTTCTTCTCAGATGTTCGAGCACCACCACCAGCAGATCGGCAAACAGGTAATTCGGAAGTGCTAGTTTGGGAAAATGATGTGCATTTAGTGGTTTTAGGCTTACAAGCACTAACGGAACTTAATACAGCTCGGCAATGGAACTTTGTTCAAGTAAGCGTTGATTTATCTTCTGAAAAGTCTCTTCTGATCAATATATTCCGTATAGATCGATGTTGACGTAAATGAACTTCGGCACTATCGTGAAAATGTTATCAAAACAGTGATTTATCCGTGTTCAACTGTACTAGATGACAGCATTGGTAGTGCTCTGTGGTTTGCTGCTCGTGGCAGTGGGAAACTTCATCCTGTCAATACAATTTACGAGAGTCCAGCAGAGGTAATACACAATAGACGATCTAATCTTCAACACTCTCTGTTGTGTCGTAGGTGTTGTTATCCGGTTTAGGCGCTGATGAACAACTAGCTGGTTATTCTCGGCATCGATCAACATTTCAAGCACATGGATGGAAAGGACTGGAAAATGAACTCGAAATGGAAATTAATCGAATTTCCAAACGAAATTTGGGGCGTGACGACCGGTACAGAAAACATGTCTTTCATTCTGATGTGCATCTCAGGATTTATTTTCTAGAGTGATCAGTAGTTTAGGTAAAGAAGTTCGTTTTCCGTTTCTCGACGAACAATTAGTGAATTACCTTCGTTCCGTGCCGATTTGGTACAAAGCGGATTTACGTTTAGGACGTGGTACCGGTGAGAAATACCTCCTTCGCTACATCGCTTGTCACAATCTGTCTCTGTTCCAATCATCGAAGTATCCCAAACGTGCGATACAATTCGGTTCGCGAATCGCGAAACTTGAAAACCGAAAAGAGAAAGCGTCCGATCAATGTTCAAGATTAACAATAGACGACGAAGATTAATTCGAAATCTTATTCTGTTTGTCGGTCAACTAGACTTTATTTCCGTAAAAAAAAAGGTCAAATAAAGAAATAAGAATTGAGAAAAAGAGAAGACAAGCGACCAGTAATGTACATATATAGTTAATAATCATAATGGGAACAAACACAACAACATGAACAAGAATATAAAGGAAGAGGGAGAAAGAAACGATCAAATACGACTGCTTGCAAATCGCCTTTTCTTTGCCAACAGAGGAGAAGAAAAACAGAACTGTGCAGTGGAAACATGAGGAGAAAAAAAAATAAATGTATGTATAGGTAGATCGATCTTGAAAACCAAGAGACTTTCTCTGTGTATAATACTTTCATATTCACTTCTGTGTATAGAACTCTCGTAACATTATTGACAATAATCGAGTTTAGTTTTTGAAAGACACATTTATACAAAATCGAAGTTCTTGATTCGAAGATTTAGTAGTAGAAAAATAAGCAAGACAACGGTGTTGATGTTTGGTTTGGCTTTTCACTATAAACATCGACGTTTTTCTCGAAAGAGCAGACAAAAAGCGAAAAGACGTGTTTACACACGGACGGAATGAATTCGTTCGCGCGTTTGCATCAAACATGTAACATACTGATGGGCTTTCTCGAATTGCAAACAAATGAAAACTGCACGGCGATGATGGGTGCGTTTTTAAACGCGCAATATACCAAACAAGAAGATAAAAATCGATTGAAAGAGAAAAGAAAACGAAAGAATGAACTGCGTGTAAGGCAGTATACACGCAACGAAGGTATGGATTCAAAACGAAACATGTTTTACGTAAGTATTCAGATTCAATCGCCGGGATGTTCAGGACATGTTCGATTAATGCGAAACCAATTATCAATACAGCTAAAAATAAACAAATAAACATTTAGATTTGATATGAAGATATTCAGTAAGCGTATTTAGAATTATCTCTGTTTTCTGAACAAATAGTCAACATTTATCTTCAAATTGAATTCTACTGAGACATAACGACCTCAAAAAGATATGAATCATCAACGACTCAGCAAAAGTATCATTTGAAAGATAAATTGTGAGATAAATGTGCGTAATAAGAACAGAAATCAACATTGACGTGATTTTTTCAAGATCAACAAAGTGGTTCGATGCTCTGCACCCTTCGACTAGAGGTCACACAAAAGCTTCTGTAAACACATCTATTGCTCGATAGAACTCGAAGTATCCGATAGACTACTATCTCAGTGCGTTGGAAATTCGCCGAATTTACCTTTTGTGATAAATACAAAGACATGGCAGTCGAGCAATTTTTTGTCCTTCCAGTAGATCATCAAGACATATGACACATTCACCTTTGTTTTCTGTTAATGTATCCTCTATAGGGAAAGAAAAAACAATCAGCATTCAGATATTGATATGTTAAACAAACCATTATAATCTATTCGAGGCTTCGACAGACATTGTACAATATGTTTATCAAATATATCTCTTGGAATTGTTTTATTACATACAGGACACGGAACATCATGAAGTGCAATTAAAATACGATGCAATCGCCGTCTCGCTTGTGGTGATTCCTCATCTGAACTTTGATCATCGGAGTCATGTTCAAGTCCAACGTAACGTAACAGATTAAAGTTGAACGCTGCGGCAGCAGCAGGATCAATGTTAGTCGATGTAGTACGGTGTCGATTAGTCGAAGGATTACTTGCGAATAGACCGTGCGAACTGTGATGTCCACTACTAGAACGATGGCGAGGATGTTGGGAATGATGATTTGAACTATTTGAATGTGTACGCGGATGGGCAAGATTTGTTGTAGAACCGGTATTCGTGTTTCGATGAGCAGTGGTCGATGATGAGGAAGCTGACGACGGCGGAGTTGTTAATCGTCCACCCATTTGTGTTTTGACAAGTTTTGTTTTTCTTTCAAGTGATATCAATATATCAAGCCGAGTGTTCGTTTCAAAATATCGGTAATCATCGATACATCTAAATGAAAAATGTTGTACTTTGATATCATTTCGGTTGTGACAATGTCATATCCGAGAAAAAAGAGAAGGGGACAAATAGTCAACAAATAAACATCATCAGACGTCTATCCACTTATTACCTCACAGAAATGTGTTTTTTTGGCGACATCTATTCGATTTTATATTGGTGTACTTCGACATCCAGCGAAACTGTCATTCAAAACCGAATCAATGAAGCATTGAATTCGAGTACATATATTAGAGTAGTGTTTTTCTCATAATGTGCATCGAAACACGCTAAAGTGCTTCTTGGACAAGTGGTAAAATGGTTGTCCAATACGTGTCGAAACGACCACACTCCAGAAGTCGCCGTTCGCGAATAGTACGTTTTTTGACGTTGTTCTTTCTGGGACTTGTATCATCCACAGTCACATTTCTCATAACATTCTTTGCAACATCAGACTACATCTTTGATAGAATATCATCTTTTCTTACACCGGAATCGAATAGCGACTTCTCGTCGGAACCATCACTTGAAAGTATTAAGGATTACCGGCCGAGAGATTTCCTTGGAAAGAAAAAATCGATTAATTATGACTATTATATCACCTATAAAGATTTCAATTTCCGTAAGCCGGACACGTTAACATATGAAAATCGAACATATGCCAATAGCACACCTATCTTCTATCGATTTCCACGAAGAACGTCAATTCTAGCTTTGCTATTGATCTTCCATAGTTGTCGACATTCGGCTGTGCATTGGTTTCACACACCTGAACGGCAACGGATTCTGGGCGCGGCTATTGATCTCGGCTTTGCATGTTTAGTATTTCAAGCATCTGATAAAACAACGAAATGCTGGTCCAATGAAGGTGATATTTATCAAAATAGGGATGTGTATTACATTTTGAAAGGATTAGAGGGCTTTTTTAAAGATTATCCCGAATTAAGTAAGAAAAATTCATCCGTTCTTTAAATGGAAGTCTAGCATTTCATCGGTTTCTGTTCAAGTTTCCCTACCACGCTATACGTTCGGTTCATCCAGTGGCGGTATATTCTCCAGTGTATTTGCCATTAATCAACAGTATCCTATCCATGGACAAGTTATATACACTTCGATCATTCTCCCAGTGATCTTGCACAAACATATAAAAAATGGAAATTATCCGACAACAGTATGGATTCACGTACGTACCGAGTGCAAAGTTTTTTTTTGCAAACAAGTACTCATCTACCTCGGTGTTTGATTCCTTAGATGTTACGTGACATTGAATTTGCTTCGGCACAACGTATTGATATGTCGAAAGAAATTCTTCGGAAACAAAATATTTCATGTACTTCGTTTCCTATCGAACCATCACAACTCACATCGACGATATTTCATGATCGACAGCCTGTAATCACTCATGCTGCGTCACAATTTCTCTACTCTCAATTACGACAATATCGATGGTTAAATAACTACAACTACATGCTCCATAATCCTCGACAGAAACTGACTTGGCAGGGATTTCTGTTCGCTATGGTGATCAATCAAACGATGAGCAAGGAAGTATTTGACAATATTCATACACATAAACCCGAGATATACGAATTATTAAATACATTTTATGGTGAACATGAAATTAGCCATGAACGGTCGTATGAAGCTTTGAAATGGCTTTTAGATAATTCAAACAAATAACGCACAACGATCCAAATAATTACCGTGTTACTGTTTGTTTTTTTTTTTTTGTAAAATAAGTTTGTTTTCAATAAATTATGTTTTTAATGAGCACATATTTTCCTGGGCTTCAGAGTTGAATCATTAATAGCGGATAAGACTATCACTGAACGCCTTTTTTTTACTACAATTAACTAAATTTAGGAAATCATCAGGTTGATAGGCACTGCACGCATATCACGATAACCTTCCTTTCCTTTCATTAAAACTACAGTGCATGAGAATTCATTTTTTGCGACTTCGCAAACAAATGTTGATAAACATCGAATATTCCGCTGACTTTCCATATAATCTCGATGTAGATTATATCTTATTAAAAGAAATCTAAACATGATGAAAACGGAAGTACTTTCTTTTCCATTCTATTTATTCGACAATATCGAACATGCGTTTTCAATCTGCTGATCTCTTCTTCTTTCAGGATGGCAACTCATAAATATTCAGTTTCGTGCACAAGGAGCATTAATGATGATTAATGGCGGAAAATCAAATCTTCATTAGAATTGAAAAAACATGAAACATGTCTGTTGTTCGTCATTGCATGTTCAAGTTTTATTTTAATTAGTATTTCGGATGTATTTCCGATGGGTACGATGATGTGTTAAGAAAATTTGATTTGACTTTTTGAGATAATCCAAGCGGATATTCGAACGATCGATTTTGAGCGGAATGAGTTAATTGCTTTTTGTTCATAGACATTTCTTTTGTCGAAACTAATTAAAAGAGCAAAAAACAAAACTTTTCTCTTGGTTTCCAACGGATCGACATTCGATCAACTAGGAGGAGGAGGAGGAGGAGAAAAAGAAGAGAGAAAAACGAGAGAATGATTTCTACGACTAAGCGTTTTTTCTCTTATGACGCTGTTAGATTTTGTTTTTGCTATACTTAAGTGAGAGAGAGAGAGAGAAAACAACGACTAGATGATAGTCGACTATAGGAACAAATGTGAAATCTTCTTCCAGGAACGACGAGACGCTTCTGTTGTTCAATTCGAGTTCGATCATTGAATGGAGATGATATTGCCTATCGAAGATACGTTTGATTTCATTTCTTTTTCTTCCATCCTTTTACTCGTACATTTCTCCCGGGATTCGTCTTTCTCTCCTACTAAAATTCATTAAGTTATGCCTCGTTTCTACCTGGCGATCAAACAAAAAAACCTCATCTGTGCACGCATGCATTCAATACTTAATCTTTTCTAAATCATGCCAACAAGCACAAGTCAGAATTGCGGATATATGACTCTTTCTCCATATTAGATATCGAGAAAATGGATATATTTTTAGCCTGGATCTATATACGCAAGTATAAAAGGAAAAGAACTTTTGATTATAAGCACATTGCCTTTTACTTAACCATGAAAGTACACGATATACCTTTGCGTTTTTCTTTTTTTAGATTAGCTTAAAATCCCTTCGTAAAATACTGAAAGATGCTTGGTGGATTTCTCAAATTAACTTTATTCCTTCATGTTGTATTCATGTTCGTTACTCTTCTATGGCAAGTAGCAATTGCCGAAGCTTCGTCGGTAAGTATTCGATTGGTAAATTATTGCCGGATATTGAACACTACGGAGCGGCTAATAATGGTACTTGTACGATGATTGTTTTTCTCAATCAAACTATAATATTACTGTTTTGTGTACACAGAAAAAGAAATGTCAATGATAAAAATAGGTCGTCGATTGTGAAATGCTTGCTAATTACTTTCTGACTACTTGAAATCGAGAATGAGAGTCGAGAAAATGTCAGACGTAAGATGATTAAAGATTCTTTATTTCGTCTCTCTTTTTAATGGATAACAAAGCAGAATCGCTTGAGATTTCATCAAGTAGAGAAATATAATAAGGACAATTAGCTACATTATTACATGCTTGGCTGCCTTCACGAAAAACAGCCTCGAACAATAATGAAAAAGGCTAATAAATATCACACACAATTTTCGTGAAGGTGGATGTTTAATAATATAAATTTCATGGACTTTTTCTTCTTAGAATTCGGCTACTGACAAGAATCTGGGTGTATTAAATAAAGATGCAACTCATTTGTTAACTCCTCCTCAACAACAAAGTATTCATTTAGTCAAAGATCCATTGAATTTCCCTGTCGATGTCGAATCGTTAGTTGACAAACCACCTGCTCGTACTCGTACACGTCATCGAATCTTCCGAAAAAAGTTACATCCGAGCAAATTAACCAATTCAAAACACGTTCTCCAATCAACAGGTATACGCCCTAAAAAACATCGATCCTCTAAACGTGTTCAATCAATGCTAGATGATCGTCTCAAGCGTTTTCGTATGTTGGATACCGAGGAATTTCAAGAAATGTTGAAATCAATGAGTCAACAACAATCATCAGAACAACCAACAGGATTCAATAACATAGACACGATCGACGGCATTCAGCTCGAAAGTAAGTTTCAACTAAATGATTTTCAACTGTTCATATCTCGTTCTATTCGTAGATTATTGGTCGCGTAAATAACTGCAAGAAAAGGAGTTGGTACAAACTTCATTTTTCCTCTCTTTCTCTCTTTTACTGCTGTTGTCTATCAATATTTACATACATATATACATCATATACATATATACGCACATAATGGAATGAGACGTATTTGTTTCTCGAATGATTTCTATCTGTTTTGTTTCCTTTATTCGCGGAAAAAAGAAAGAAAGAAGGAAAGAATTGAATATTACAAATAAAAAACGAGTTTTATGCCATGAATCACTTGATTTGTAATGGGCATGAATATGTCATACATTGTAATCAGACCGTATATACCGTATGTGTTATTCGACATCTACAGCAGTCATAAAAATTAGTGTCACTTATCGTTCCCGTTAAGAACACTTGAAAATGATATCAAAGGATGGATGATGATCACCATAGTGATTGAACTTCAATCAAATTTCAAGAGCCCAACTAAACTTTCTTATGAAGAGATTGCTATGACCTAGCTTTTCATTGATAGCATCAATCTCTTCACGTCAAGATCACACATTTCCACATTGTTTTACTACTCTGCACAGAATATCAGGCGTCACACTGTCAGCCTACGCTTTACAGCGTGTTGTTTTCGAGACGAAACAATTAATTACGTCTAGGTTCAGTGTCATACGATTCTTTTATACCTGATTTGACTTTTATTATCATTACTAATGTGATTATCATTCATAACTACATCTCTCACATCGAACAACACGAGAAAAAATGAAAATAAAAAAGAAGAAGAAGAAGAAGAAGAATGAACGTCATAAATTACAACACATTTCAAGCATTGTTCGCACTCTTGTACATGTTCACAAAGACATCTTTGTACTTCTTTTCCACTGCATATCGTCGCGCTTTGAACGTCGGTGTCAAAAGACCATTCTCGATAGTGAACGGCTCTTTGATAAACTCGATGTTTTTCACTTGTTCGTATGACATCAGTCCTCGCTTCTTCCCTTCTCGGGTCATGTCATCCAGAACGATCTGCTTCAGTTTCTCGTCCGGTTCGGATGTCTGCACGTGATGACCTTCGGTTGTTGCCCACTTTTTCACATAGTCATCATCGAGAACAACGATGGCAACGAGAAAGCTTTCCAACGAATCGCCGTACACAAGGATCTGTGAAATAAAGCGACTTCGAGCATAAGCATCTTCAATTTTCTCGGGTGCAACGTATTCGCCTTGGCTGAGCTAGAAGAGAGAAGGAGATGAAGATACGAACTGAGCTTTATGACTGACTTTGTACATGTTTTTCTTTCGATCGACGATCTTCATGGTTTTGTGTGGTGTCCATCGTCCGATATCGCCTGTGTGTAGCCAACCTTGTTCGTCAATGGCTTCACGAGTCTTAGCCTCATCTTTCAGATAACCTTTGAATAGAGCTGGGCTGCTAATACAAATTTCGCCAATGCCGTCTTTGGCATAGTACTCTTTCTCGGGCACGTCAACCAGTTTGATGTAGTTCATTGTTGTAGGAATACCTGTTTCGCCAGGTTTAATGTGATTTGGCGTTTGCGAACAGCCGATAACACATTCTGTTTGGCCATAACATTCAACAAACATACATGAAAATGCAGCACGAGAAAATGCGCAAACTTCGGCGGAAAGCGGAGCGCTAGTGGAAACGACACATGTCATTTTACCACCGAAAGATTGACGAACTTTGTGAAAAATTAATTTATCCCAGATAGTATTTTGTGAAAAATCTCCTCGACGAATAAACTCGAGTTTAGTGCGAATGGCTAATCGAAAGAGAATACGTCCAATAAGTCCTTTTTTTCGCGATTCAGATCGAACTCTATCATAAAGTTTATTTAATAGACGTGGCACCATCGTAATTATAGTTGGTTTGAAATCGCGAAAATCATCAATTAATTTATCGACTTTACCTTGCCAAAATCCAACCTCTCCTCCTACAAAGTTCAATAAAAATTTCTCTCTTCACAGATTCACAATTTCATACCTAAATATGTGATAGCTACAATTGTTCCGCAGCCAAACATGTGTGCTAATGGCAGATAATTAATAACACGTGGAGTCTCTTTTTTCTTATCGGGGTCGAGAAGACCAATAGAATTCACAAGTCCATACAAAGCATTGATAAAAGCTTCGTGTGTTATAATACACCCTAAACACGAAGACATAGTTCATGCCTGAACATCGTTGCAACTGTTACCTTTGGGTTCTCCTGTACTTCCGCTTGTATACATAATCACAGCTGTATCGCTTGGCTTAGGTACGACCACTGGTGCCGGATTCTTTCGACCTAGTTCTCTGAGATATGCAAGTGTTATTAAATTCAAATTTTTTTCTGTTGCTTGTTTTATTAATTCTTTTGTTGGTTCAAGGAAACACACGATTGTTTTCAATGTCGATATTTCATCTTTCCATTCAATCAAGTTCCTCACACGTTGCAGATCATCGGCAAAAATCAATTCGACTTCAGTTTGTTTTATAATGAACCGCACACCATCTCGACCAAGTGAATCATAAATGCCAACCGGCACCATCGAATACGGCCATGCCGAATAAAGACACAATGCATAGTTCATCGTACATGATCCATAAATACCGAAAAAGGTATCATTTTCTGGTTTAAGACCAAAGTGAACTACACCACTACCGATTTCTTTGATAATTTCAAATACTTCTCTAATATAACACAAACGCTCTTTGTTTATCGAATATATAATACATCACTTACGTATGTGTATAAGATTTAAATGATTGATTAGATGCTTCTCGATACGAGAACAAGGGTTTCTTCGCGGCTAGTTGTATTCCATGTTGTAGTGCACCGTATAATGTGTCTACACCAAATGCTGTTGTGTCTTGCAGATGTTGCGTACAGTCCGGATGTGCATAGATATGTTCAGTGAGGTCGATTTCGACTGCACCAGTTGGTGATAATGGTTTTTTTAAAAGAATTCGCACGAAGGAGAAAAGATACTCCAGTAAAACAGTAGTGAATACCACAAATACGGCGAGTAAGACAGCAAACATATCAATAAAGTTGATATGCTAAAACAGAATACACATAAATATTATTTACTAACTTCGATAAAATGCGTCGCAATACTCACATCTTACACAGAAATGCGAGGAAGAAAAAAGCGAGAAAAAAACAAATATTTTTTATCTACTCATGCCAGTCCAACCTGTAGATAATAAATGCATGGAGAACTGGCAAACTTAAAACGAAATTCTATCATAATGAAGAGTCTTATGACGGGACACTTCTCATGTCAACGTACGCTTCTATTCACAAATAAAAATGCTCGATCGAGGAAGAAAAGAATCGATACAGCTGTCGCTTCTTGTTAAAGTAAGCACGAAATAAAATAGGTCATCAATGTGAGAACACGAAAAGAAATACCTTCACAATACTCTCTAAATGTTTACCAGATCAAACAGTCTTGTAGTTTTTGCTTTACAATGAAACACTTATCAATTCAAGAACTTGTTAACTTGCACCCCATGAAGATTTATTTTCGTCTACGTCAGTGTTGACTATTATTTACATTCGAGGAGAAGCTGAATACCTTTGAAATGATAAGATATTAGAAGAATTTTTAAACGGCGTCGTAGCACGTGCTCTGAGAAAAAACCTGTCAGATAGTAAAGTTACATCGTACCAATGATTTTCGATGACAAGACTAATTATAAAGTTCTTTTATCCGTACAATTCTGGTTTACTGCACACAAAACAGCAAAGGAATCAATTAGATACACATTTATTGAATTTTTTATGAACTAAATCAAAGTTATCAGTAAACTTATGATGATTCTCGCAAGACGATCAAGTCACTTACAGAGAGATGTGATTTGATTTGAATAAATAATTTCGTCCACGTGTTGGACGTACGAAAAGTATTGACTATGATACTACAAGTGAGACAGAGAACAAGAGAGAGAGACAGAGAAATACATTCACATGACTAGTACTAGACATGATAACCTTGAGCTTGCTCTTTTTCTTTTTTCTTTTCTGACTTTTAGTTGTATTAGCAGCAGCGACTGAAGATTTATCGACTCTATCTGTCGCTCTGTCTCTCTGCATATCATACGTGTTCGTTTTGAGAAACAAGAACGTGAGAAATATTGATCTCTGTATAGAACTAAACTGAGATAAAAGAATCCGAGAAAAAAACTTTGCGAACGTAAAAGATTGGTGAAAGTATGAACTCGAAAATTTCTTTTAATAAATAACGCGCTCGTTTTCTTCATGCATATTCGAATACGAGACACTAGAACCAAATATTGATCATAAAGTAAAAATAGATGATGTTGATCTACGTCAATTAGTACATGCTTTTCATACGTTTGCTTACTGTTTTCTGTGTATGTTATTCGAAATGTTGATAAAATGAGGTATAACTTGGAGTATGTTTTTCGTTGGATGTTGAAATTTGAAATTCGACCGGTTTCGATTGTCAAGAGAGTAAATATCAGTCTATACTGTTTTTTATCATGCTAATCAATGTTTTGGTTGCGACGGATGATAGATAGCTGGTTAATCGCATCAAAAGAAAAGCTCGGAAGACCTTGATACGCACACAGATTGTCTCCGATTAAGCAAACGGCAAGCTTCTTTTTATGAGCCTTGATATCTGACACATTGCGACTGATACCAAGCAGGATAAATCAGAAGAAGAAAACTCAATTAATTAGTTCTTAGAATGAATCAAAAAGTATTATTATAAGCTCAACATCAATTCTTGCCGTGTGTGTGTCAATGACACTTTATCCTCCCTAACGAACAATTTCACTAATATTATCTTTAATCTTCTGTTCTTTATTTCATTAAATCTAGTAATCCAACAATGTATACTTATATTTATCGACGTTTTATCTACAAGTCACAAGAACCAATTTGAAGAATTTTAATTATACGAAGATATGGCTCCAATGCCGCTCATATCACCTATTTATCATATCGAGCTTGCGTTTAATATGGTTCAATTACTCTTCTGTTGATTTGACTTTTATTATCATTACTAATGTGATTATCATTCATAACTACATCTCTCACATCGAACAACACGAGAAAAAATGAAAATAAAAAAGAAGAAGAAGAAGAAGAATGAACGTCATAAATTACAACACATTTCAAGCATTGTTCGCACTCTTGTACATGTTCACAAAGACATCTTTGTACTTCTTTTCCACTGCATATCGTCGCGCTNACCGTTCGTGTACCCATTCATATAGAAAGATACCCAAAGCTCCTGTGCCACTTAAAAACGATGCTAATGACATGAAACTAACAAATGCAAATGGGATTGAATAAAACCGCTCGACACAACTTATACAGAATAGAATTAATAAAGCCAGAAATGTTAATAATGGTGCAGCAAGGAAGAGAAGAAACATGACAAAATATCGAATACGTTTTGTATAATAATGAAATCCTTGTGGAGATGTTTCATACGATGATAAATAACTTTGCAATTCTTGATTGCCAAGCCAAGTTGATTGCCACATACAATTTCCTTGCGGCCAATAGTAACGTGTTTGATTGTACGGTCGATTACAATCCTTCTCATCATAATATGACGGACAATCAGGTATATTATTACATCGCACCATCTAAACAAAGTAATAGATTGCATTCAAGGACAAGGAATAACGAAGAACCTTACACAACAATCGGTACCAGGGCATTGATTTTTTGGATCATGACATCGTTGACAAGTTAATGTTGAATTTGTTCGAAATTGTTGTTCAGATGTTGTCGGAGCTAGTTTTGGTATTAAGAGATTGATCCATCGAAAATCTAGACAGTAGCCGAATAAACCATAGTAAGAGCGAAATACATAGCGTGTTGGTTTCATTTGCAATGGCAGTCTGTTTGGAACGTCATTTGATTGTACACGTTGTCGTTCTTGCAGCAGACTATGTTGATCAATTAAATCTTCATCTAGATAACTCCAACGCGTATTCAAAAACGCATAAAAGTAAAGACCAATTGACGTCAGCATCGGCAGAACAATAAGCATAACTAATACACTAATCTTCATCTTTGATCTATTGTGTTTTGAGTTTACTTTTCTTCTTTCTAGTTAAGAATCTACAAGAGTCGAAGATGAAATAGTTCGATCAGATCAAAAGTATGACAAATAAAACAAGGATACGGTCGATTAGCAATCGATGGAGGAGAGGAAACACTCAACAAAAAAAAAAAGAACACACGAGAAAGAAAGCAAGAAGAAATCAAACTAACAAATACTAACAGCATACGTGAACATAATGATGATTACTCCTACTGCTACTCAGCATGCCGAATCAATACACCACCCGTCTGACTACCTCTTTACTTCAGATTCTGACATATCATCGTTTTGTGTATGCGGTTTACATTCTTCTTCTTCTCTTCTTCATCATCATAGAAAGTTTTTTCTTCTACTGACTGTTACACGTTAACCTTTCTCTTTTTCCCTTCTCTTCTCTTCTCTCTTTCTCTTCCCTCGGCTCTTATCCTCTAAAATATAATCAACGAACGATTTTTTTTTCGTACAAATGCGACAAATACACATAGATACACGTACATTAAACGAACAAAAAGAATCGTGAGGCATCAGCATTTGAAACAATCTGTTATGCTTCTCCTTCTCGTTCAGTCAAGCACTTCACAATAGGAAGACACATCTCGATCTATTCACAATACTAATAAATTGTATTATGCACACATGCAGTCTCTCATGGACGTGCGTTGATCCTTACTACTCTAACTATCAAGCGTATATACACACACATCCAACTAAGTTGATTACGTATTCATTGACACTAATGCCGACATGCATAAACACAATGAATGGTTCATCTAATTTATTTGTATACATCTCTAGATGAGAAAGAGAAGAGTTCTCTACTGAAAAGGTAATTTGATGCAAACGATCAAGAGAATAAGAAATGTGTGACTAAAGCATATTAAGATAATGTACCAATCTAATGATTTATGATTGATAACTGATGAAATACTTCTCTTGTCTAAACAAAACAAAGAACTGAGCAGAAAAAAGACAAAAAAAGTCTTCAGAAACAAAAAATGTGTTAATTATTATTATCATATCAATGAAGGACAAACGAAGCGATCTATGGACCTGATAGAAAGAGAGGGATCGTTGATAAAAGTGATAGCATAAAAATAAAAAACAACAAACTATATATTTACAGCCACAAAAGAAAACGTTTGAGGTAGAAAAAAAAGGGTAACCAGCTGCAGTAACGAATGAAGAATGGCTACGTATTGTACTGAAGGCAGACACAGACACAAAAAGAAAGAAACGGACACCAATCGTGTCTATGTCAATGAGAACGAAACACATACGACGATCGTTTATATTCGTCATAGTACATGATTTTTTTCTCATTAACCAGCTTAACTCATCTGATTGACTATCAGTCGCTCATGTCGTTGAAAACTAACGTTTGCCTATTCGACTCAACACTTCTGATTAGGCACGAGTTGAAGGTTGTTATTTCGAGAAGATTTATGCTAACCTTGATCTTGTCATGCCATACATTGAGCATAATTCCATGATCACTTACAAAGCAACAAGAATAACTGAGATAATGGCATCTTAAGTAATTCGAGAGCGTTATTTGTATACATCGAGTTGAAACAGGAAAAGGTTAAGTAAAAGAACAGATCCTTTCGAAAAAGTTCAGTTCAAGCATTTGTTTTATCTCAGATCATAAAGTTAACTTGTCAAGTTTGCTTACTCTGCTACCGAGCTGCACACTTGAATTAATGTTTGCAAGGCTAAACTAACTTGAGAAACTAAAATACTTCTGCATTTCAATTGAAAGCTGAGCTCTGAATGGACGCTGCGTCCTTCGAACCGTCGTATTTATATATACATTCATCAAAATAGGACGAAGCATAGCTTACCTTGATTTTTTCCATATGTGTTTATGATGAAATCAATTTCCTTCGAAGAATAAATATTTGAAGGATAAAAAAAAAAAAGAAAAGAAACCGTCTTTCAATGAACTTCAAG